GGTGACTGAGTGTCTGTGTGATGGTGTGACTGGTGACTGAGTGTCTGTTTGATGGTGTGACTGGTGACTGTGTGGCTGTGTGTCTGTGTCTTGGTGTGACTGGTGACTGTGTGTTTGTTTCCGTGTGACTGGTGACTGTGTGATGGTGTGTTTGTGTTTCCGTGTGACGGTGTGACTGGTGACTGTGTGATGGTGTGACTGGTGACGGTGTGTTTGTGTTTCCGTGTGACGGTGTGACTGGTGACTCTGTGACTGTGTGTCTGTGTCTTGGTGTGACTGGTGACTGTGTGGCTGTGTGACTGTGTGTCTGTGTCTTGGTGTGACTGGTGACTGTGTGTTTGTGTTTCCGTGTGACGGTGTGACTGGTGACTCTGTGACGGTGTGACTGTGTGTCTGTGTGACGGTGTGACTGGTGACTCTGTGACGGTGTGGCTGTGTGGTCCCGTCCCATGCCGTGACCTCACTGTACTACTGACGTCTCAGGGCCGATTAGCGTCGTCGTGAGTGGAGCACTCGCTGTCACTCTGACCTTTACCCTGACCTTTTACGTTTTCCCGCCGGCAGCAATGTCTAGCCTCCCCTTCTCCCATCTTCTCCCTCCCTCCCCTCCCCCTCCCCCTCCTCTTTCTGTACTCGACACTTAGTTTAAACCGTTTGACGATGGTGTACTTTTCCCAAAAGACGCAACTTGTGTCAGCTGGCCGAGGTAGAGATATCTACACACGTTCGCTCTTTGTCTGTGTGTTTTGGGGTGTTTTTTAAACAGTTTTTATTTATTTATTGATTTATTCATTTATGGTTGGTGAATTTAATATTTTATCATTTTTTTAAAGCATTTCTTTTTCAATATTCGCCATTCTGGCCCACCCTCGTTCTCCCCCCTCCCCCTCCCCCTCGTCTTCCAGAAGGCACCACCAAGCTAGGTAAATCATCGTTTGTTTTTTCCTCCTCTTTCTCTCTTTCCTCCCTCTTTCCCTCCCTTGGTTATCCATCTACCCTTCCCATCCCTGCAATGTTTCTAGTTACAAATTAAAGACAAATAAATTGTTCATTTAATAGATTAAATGAAATCGAACAGATTATACGTAAAGATAAATGAAATATGTAATTTGTAAATCAAAAGGGACGGAAATCCTCCTTCTGTGGTGTAGCTGCCACGCGTTTCGCTGTCGCACGCAGGAGACCCGAATTAGATTCTCGAATGGGACGAATTTTTATTGAATATTTCGCTCTTTCTGCTGGG